AAAAAACACTTGTATATAATTTTGCTTACGCTCCAACAGTCGCAATGGCCGAGTGAGCAAAGCACCGGCGCTCTATTCCAGAGATCCGGGGTCCATTCCTCAGGCAGCGGATTTTTTTTTCTTTTTTTAAATATAATTTGTTTAATTTTAGAAATTTATACCATTAATTTTTTCTTTTTATAAATAATTCTTTTTCTTTATCTAATTAAATCTAAATTTGTTTAATTTCAGCTAATTTTCAGAAATTTAATTTCTAAATCATAAAACCAATATGCTAAGACGTTAGCAGAACTTTCAATTAGTTTTTCGAAAGGCAGAAAAGACTTTTCAAGGTAGTTGCCAGAATTAACGATTGTTTTACGAAAGGCTTTTGTCTTTCGGGGGACTATGGGGAGTTGAAACACAGTTGCCAGAATGTCCCTGTAAACAAAATCTCTCAAACTAACTTGCCTACTGCCTTTCAATTGTCTCAAAACAGACTTTCAACTATTTTAGCCAGAATTGCCCAGTAAGATTGAGATTAAGGAAAAGATAAAGATGAAGGGAAAGATAGAGATAGTATAAAGATAAAGATAATGATAAGGGTGGAGATAAAGATAAATATAAACATTAAAATGCTGATGCATATTGAGGTTAAGACGGAGTTTCACTTCTTCCGCGCAAAGATCTACACGCGCTCTGTTTTTGCTTCTCCTGTAAAATTTCAAAATGTTCATTCAGAGCCAACAAAATTTTCATAACACAGGAGTCCAACTTTTTTCAAGTTGCACACAAATAAGTTTGCATTATGAAATTATTTAGAAAACAATATGCAATTCTTCATTAATTTGCCTACAAACATTTGAAAACTTTTGCTTTGCCGTTCCTTTAATGTTGTTCTGTTTTATCAAAACACCCCAGCCTAGTTGCGGCGCGTCAACCAAGCCACACAATAATAATAGAAAAACCACCTAACAAATATATATGTATGCATATGTATGAGTGACAGCTAGCACCTTTTCGGAGCAGAAAACTTTTACAGTTCTGTGGAGGTTGCGTGCAGCCACCAACACGATTCGCGTGTCAGGTGCACGTTGGTGTGCTGTAACGCACTTCCGATTACAACAAACCACCTACCGCTCTTTGCTGAGCTGCATATTTAGGTACTTGCCACACGTCTGTTCCTGTTGGTATGTATGTATGTATGTAGTAACTGCTGGCACTGGAGGTTGCCAAATGCCACTGCCATGCAATTTTTCATGAGCAGAACCCACAAGCGCACTTTGTGCAAAACTTTTCACAAACTGCGGATGTTTGTGATTAGTGTGCGTGAAGTTTTGCAAAGCGATTTGAGTTGCCAACAAGCAGCTGGATGCCTAGTAGTTGCTGACTTGTGGCTGACTGGCTGACTGGCTGGCTGGGTAGTAGTACCTCCTACACCTTCAAATATTTACGAGTACCTATTGCTATCTCATGCTGGCGTTAACAATACTTGGTGGCACTTGGAAATCGGCATAGCACATTTAGACATGTGTTGCGTTAAGAAGTTCCATCCTTGTCCTGCGGCGAGTAACACACTTGTTCTAGTCACTTTACGTAGCACGCATGGATTAGAGAAAATTTTCACTTTAACTTGTGCATATGTACATATCTACATACAACTAACAACTTGACTGCAGCAACTCTGGCGTTTTTCGTTTTTGTTTGCTTATCGTGGCGGCTAAAGTTGATGAGTAAGCTGTGAAAGTAATTTAACTTGACTTGATTAGAAGACACTGCTGATGCGAGGCGCTGGAAATTTGCCAACTTCTTCTGTAGGTGACATGATAGACTTGTGCGCTTGCCGCTTGATTGAATGACAGATTTATTTATATGTACATATATACATTAGAGTGGTCCATTTTTTGGTAGGGGGAAAAAATGTCATCCAAAAAAATATGGCACCCCCTTAGTTTTTTCTTTTTGATATACGTAATATCTATACCAACTTTCAATTTTCTATTGCAACCAATACAGGGTGCTCAATGACCTTTGAATGCGCTACTGGATCGCTGTGATACTGGCAAAAATATTAGTGCTTTTTATAAAAAGATACCGTTGCCATGACAAATGAAACTGGTGATATTTTTATACCCGAGCGCACTTGTGCACAAGGGTATATTAATTTTGTTCACATAACGGTTGTTTGTAACAGCAGCGATTAAGCTATGTCTGTATGTCCGTCCGTCTGTCCGTCTGTCCGTCTGTCCGTGTACACGATAACTCGAGCAAAAATTGAGATATCTCAACGAAATTTGGTATGTAGGTTTCCCTTAATCCAAGGTAGGTTGGTATTGAAAATGGGCGAAATCGGACTTTAACCACGCCCACTTCCCATATAACGGTAATTTCCAGAAATACGAAAACTGCGATATTTTAGTAACTAATGAAGATAATTCACTCAAAATTGATATTTGTAATAAGTTTTAGACGAAAAATAAGAATATTATAAATTTTGGAAAATGGACGTAGCCACGCCCACTTATGGTTACATGTGTATATCTTGGTAACCGCTGCACCAATTTCCTCCAAACTTGGCACAGTTGTTGGCCTTCGCACAACATACGAAACGGCCGAAAATTTTTAAAATCGCTCAATAGCCACGCCTACTTCCCATATAACGGTAATTTAGAGAAATACAAAATCTTCGATAAATCAGTAAATATTGAAGCTAATTTATTCAAAATTGATGCTTGCAACAATTCTTTACCAAGAAATACGTTTATGGTAAAATTTTGGAAAATGGGCGTGGCACCGCCCACTTATGATCACATATAAGTATATCGGTAACCGTTCTGCCAATTTGTACCAAACTCGGTGTGGTTATTGTGCTTGCCACATATAAGCAAAACGTTCAAAATTATTGAAATGGGACTAAAATAACGGCCGCTTCTCATGTAACGGTAAATTTCAGAAATGCTTGAAACTTCAATATTTCGAAATTGAAGGACGCTAATTTACTCAAAATTGATACACCCCGGCTTACCATCTAGCGGAAGGTTTCGGAAAGGTGAAAAAACATATATTTCATACTTGCGCCGGGTATTTAATGTTCGGCTCCGCCCGAACTTAGACTTTCTTACTTGTTTAAGATAATTTAAATTTGAAATTAGGTTACTTCACCAATTGTTTGATTAATATATGTACACAATACTTCTAGAGCAAAATATGAGCATAATGAGCATCCTGTAAATTTATACTTGGAAACGTAAGGTTTGGTACCAGCACTTCTTTCGGCAAGACGAAAAATTTTTGAAGGTGCCCCAAACTCTATCTTGGAAAAATTTTGTTTGGACCACTCTAATATACATACATATAGTACTTATATTGATCGAAAATATAAATTTATGCGCTCTCAGCGTAACATGTCAGCACTTCTGAGCTCATAAAGTGAAGACATCATCAAGTTGTGGTTAGCGGTTTCACATTTGTACAAACACATGTGCATTTACCTACTTACTTCCTAGCTGCTGGTATGTTCACTTTAACCCTTGAATAATAGCTGCAGTTGTAGTTGGTACCACGTGAATAAATATTTGACAGCCATTTACTGACAGCTTTAAGTGTTTTTTAAAACAATAAGAACCCAAAATTAGAAAATTAAATTAAGTAAAGCAAAAAATTCAAAACAAATTAAAATAAAAAAACAAATAAAATAAATCTCTAAAAATTAAATGAAATAAAAAAAAACTTAACTTAAAAAGAAAATTAAATTAAAAAAAATGTATTAAAAGCGGAAAAGATTAAATCAAAAAAAGGAAAAAGAATATTAAATTAAGAACAGAAAAATTAATCTAATGGCCTTATTCATAAAAAATAAAGTAGGTTTAAAGAGCTTTATAAAATGACGTTTTCATACATTTTTCAGTTTATAAACCTTTTTTAAAGCCACTTTGTTTTCTATGAATAAAGCCATAAAAAACGAAAAATGAAAAAATTAAAATAAGTTCGTAAAAATTTAACTAAATAAAAATGTTTTCAAACCAATAAAATCATAATTATAATAAAATTGAATTAATAAATAAATAATTGAATGTGAAATCAAAAAACAATATGAATAACGAAATAGAAATAATGAAAATAAGTTGCCTAAAAGCTAAATAAAATTAAAATTTTTTTCTCTTTAAAATAATATGACCTAAAACTAAAAGGGAAAAAATAAAGAAAATAAAAAAATTAAACGTGTTTCTAAAAATTTAATTGAATTAAAAAAAAATATTTGTTTCTTCATTTAAAAACAATAAAACCTAAAAACTAACATACAAATTATGTGAAAAACATTGAAAAAGAAAATAGGTTTCCAGAAATTAAATTAAATTAAAAAACATGTTTTTCCTTGTAAAATAGTAAA